CTGGCTGGGACCTTTTAAACAGTGGACTAGTGAAAGAGCTCTTTATACTGGCTGGGACCTTTTAAGCATTGCACTAGTGAAGGGGTTTTTTGGTGATTACTAGTCTTTAAACATTTAGTTAGTGGAAATTTACTTGACGATTTCTGGGATCTGTTTGTTAAGCGCAAAACTACACAATAAGTTCCCTACGTTTTGCACACTGCATGGATCGAATCCCCAATTTTTGCGTTTTAAGCTCTCAAGCTTAGTGCCAAGACACTGGTGAACCTAAGATATATTAACTATTGAAATTGTAAAAAGGCCTTTGGTAAAAAAAGAAAGAATATTAGTGGGAAATGTTTCATATAATTACTATGACTTTTTGAAACATCAAATATTTTTCTAATTCTTATTACGAGAACGTCAATCCTAGGAATTTAGAAAAGTGTTTCTATTGGTAGAGAAAAAATGCTTTGTTGTATAGAATAAAAATAATTGTGCAATTCTATGAAAAGTCAGCAAACATCGTTGATAACAGGTTGAAAGGTTTATTTATTTTTTGAACTTGGCAAACATGATACACGACTATATATGAGATCCCTAGAGTGTTGGGTGAAATGAGCCATAAATCCACTGAATAGAATTTATGTGAAATATTTCGTTGTTCAAGGTTCAGATCTCTCAAAATTTCTGTATAAAGACAAATAATTTGAATTCTTTACAGTAAAGAAAATAATTTACACAGCATTACGAAAACTTTGCGCTACAAATAACCGTATAGTCAACCATATTCTTCATTGGAAGCCTGGTACGTATTACGAATCTTTTAGTTGTTGTTTTTGGCAGATCTTTATCATATAAAGTGAAGTTTACAATTGGTTTTCAAATACATTTTCTTTACGAAGTAGTTTTAGCTAGTGATATTATTCATGATTAAGTAGACTGTTGCATATTAATGTAATAGTTGCTTCTATATCCATAGTAATTTGGACAGATAGGAAAGTTGAAACCATTGATCTGGATAGAATTCCAGATAGTGTTTGTTTGTTTGTAATTAAGCACAAAGCTACACACAATGGGCTATCTGTGCTCTGTCCACCACGGGTATCGAAACCCGGATTCTAGAGTTGTAAGTCCGCAGACTCCTGCAAATTAGGTTGATCTGTAAATTCAGAATAAGGTTTATATTAAATAAAATGATGTGGGATTTATGTTGGCCAAATTCCTGTTTTAGTTCATGACATAGAATAAAAAAAAATAGTAAGTTGTTTCCCAGACTTATGCAATTTACAGAAATGTTTGTTGTTATTGTTTTTCTAAGTGCTAAGTAGATGGATCGTTTAAGATGATTACATATATATCGTGTTACCTGAATTCAGTGATCCAACTGGAGTATATTTCAAAAGATTAAACCCTGCTATCTAATCATAAGGCCAGTAAATTCCAAGATATTTTTATAGTGTAATTTTTAACTTGAATTTATTTATACTTTATTTTTTTTACTCATATAGTAGTTTGGAATAATCACTAGTCCGAGTAATAAACGATTAGTCCTTGTAATTAATTTAACAACTAGATAGCTTTATGGACTTTTTGTTTCACAAAATCCGAAATTTTGGTTAATGATTTATTATCACAACATGACTAATTATTGTTTAAGAGTTTAATTAACAGAGTAAATAAGCATTTATAATGAAATATGGCTTTTTTACACTTTTCAAAACTTGTACGTTTGAATTATATTTCTATCTTTATTTGTACGATTAAAACTATGACTGTATATAGAAAGAACAGAAACTACGAGGAAATGTTTTGAGGAAAAAACTAAACCAAGATTTGACAAAACAAAACAATAACTACATCGTTAAAAATGGTTATTCTGTATTTTCGCTACATAGACAACTAAATATATTTTAATCAATATCTTAATAACCAAATAACACTTTACGTTGTAGAACTTACTCTGTAAACAGTGTTATCTAAAGTGTCTGGATCACTGATGAGAAAACACAAAAAGAAGACGTTGGCATCTTTATACGCTAGAGGGCGCACAGTGTTATAGGCATGGGCACCTACATGGATAGAAACATAACTATGTCAAAATAATTTTTCTCTAGTTTTGAAAACGTTGTAATAAAATATTAATTAGGTTATTCTATTAAATATAACTATGTCAAAATAATTTTTCTCTAGCTTTGAAAACGTTGTAATAAAATATTAATTAGGATATTCTATTAAAAATACAACTTCTTGAGAGTACGGTCCATGTTTCAATTCGCTTGATACTCTAGAAAGCTGTAAAATGGCTATTAATATTCATACAATAGCAAGTATTACACTTCTCTCGTTAAACGTCAAAATTAAATAACAAAAGTTCTTTATATAAAAATGATTTTAACTTAAAAATATCAAACTAATCTTAATGGTTAGTTTAATGACCTTTGTTTAAAGTATCATTCTTGCCCTGTCAGTACTATTTTAGGCCTAACATTTAATTTAATGACTTTTCTTTTGTACAGATCGTTATTATCCATTCAGATCTGACGCTTACTGAAATGGAGAATGAAACTTCTTTAACGTAATACAAAAACGCAAGATTATATTAACATATATAACACATACATATATGTCGTCATATATTTTATACATTTTCAGTTTAAATCCGCGATAAAAGGTTTACGCGCCTTCAAAATCAGGTACAATCTCGAACTTCAGATAAAAAGAATTATAAACATAAATATATGAAAATGGTCATAAATGATTATTTATATTTCTAATTGCTCCATACGTCTAATGATAATCTATCAATAACTAAACTGTGTTTCAGTCTTTAATATGAATATGATAAAATGTTTTAATTTTTATAATATTCATTCTATGTCACAGATTTATTGTCCGAAATTCGTTAAAACAATATCTAAAAAAAAATCAGTAAGCGATTTTGTAAAATCTTCCAAGTTCATGTTCATAGCATTTTCTTTATTACTTCGCTTAAAAAAAAAGAAAAAGAACATTTATGTGAAATAGATTGGACTTAATTGTTCTTCCTTGTCTGAATCAAAAGAAGAAGCTGCTAATGATAATAAACAGCGATATTAATGATCGATAAACCAGTCACATCTTGTAGCATTTTTTTATGAGAAACTTTTGGAATTACGTTAAATTAATAGACAAACAAGAAAGAATAAGCTTACGTAAGAAAGTTTGTTCAAATAGGAGAGCTATCCACTGTGTGGATTTCCTGAACAGGATTCTCACCTACAACAAAGCACGTTTTCTGAGCCGATGTTAATTACATATAATGACCTAAAGCCTGTACAGTGGTGAGCAAATGTACGTTTTGATCATTTAGATTAAAGTTGGGTTTAAAGTAACGTGATCATAGTTTAATCAGCCATGAGCAAACAAATACCCGAAGTAAGGTCGCACCTACCGGGAGAAACAAAAACTAACCTTATATTGTGTGAACAACATGTGCTGGTATTATATGATATTACTTGTTATTATCCACAGATTTGTTGTTTCCTATTTCAAACTATGAATTTCGTGTATGCATGCCTAAAGCGTTTACACAAGATTGTATTTTTATAGGCTTCAATGGTTAAAGTACTAGCCTTAACCGTTTTTGTAAAAATTGTCATTATTATTTAAAATTTTATTGGTAACACAGGCCTGCGGTGGTTTTATTATCTTGAAAGTTTTACATGTTCTACAGTAATTCCTGTACGCTGAAGCCGTAAATGATATCCATTTTTCTCTATCATGTACAGATTTTTCACAAAACGTTATAACGTTTTACATAAAAGAAAGACGTAGTTTTGAGACTGAAAGTCGTAGATTTCACAAAAAAAAAATCGGGTTGCATATTCGTTTGACATCAATGTTTTTCCCTTTTTTCAGTTTGTTTGCATTTTTCTAAACAAACATAATAATAAAAATGTTCATTGTGATAAACAAAATAATAATATTATCTAAGTAAGAGTTTTTCTTCTTTCCGATTTGTAAAAGAATTCTTACGTGATAGACAAAAATGAATATTATTTTCGAAATCTGCGTAGCTGAATTGTAGAACAACCGTTATTAAAACCAAAACAACTTTTATGAAGTTTAAATTCACAGGCCTGTGTAATTCATCAACCTTCAATTTGGTACTACGCGTACAACATGTATAATTTCGTTATAATGATAATTCACTAACCTTCAACGTGTGTGTGTGTGTACGACGTATTATTGTTATTTAGAATTATATTGAAAACACGTATACACAGTGTGTTATTTTTTTTATTATCACCCTCAATGATATTTCTAGTATTAATGGTGTCGGTAAAATCTGTTCTTATCGCCAAGCATGAGATTCATTCCTACATTTTGCATGCCCATCTTGTTTTAAGCTGATTCCAGAATGGACATCTGTCTGTTCGCGGTATCGCGCTTAGCAACTGCTTTCACATTGAATACAATATCTACCGGATATAAGTACGAGTAATACGATAAAATAAGTACAACTATGATATGCTCTTATGAAATAACTTTTCTCTGCCTTACTCAAACAAGAGAAACACCAATAAGATAAAATTAAAGATTCGAAAATTACCACTAGGAATCATTTAGGTTAAAAACGACAAGAATAAAACAAATATTATATGAAAAACTTTTTTCTGCGCTTTGATAAATAGGAATTTAGAAATAAGGTTGTTTAAGATAAAGCTGGGGTTTTTGGAGTCGTTGTATTTCCAGTCCCATATAAAAGTGAAACTATAGTGGAAAAGACATATATTTTGTTCTGAAGAAATATTCAGAGGTCTTTCTAAAACAAAGAATCAAAACAAATACAAGTCTTAGCTCAAATAAAGTTATAGACAAATTTCATGATAGCTATTTTAATATGTAGAGCTTATATTTCCTTTACATAAAGCTTTTTATGTTCATATCTGCAGCAATGAGAATCTCGGGAAGGTTTGATTGAATAGTTGAACAAAGTGTTAGATGTCCATATACGCCACTAAAATATCATTAACTTTAGTTTGGTTAAAGTTTGTGACTTCAGCGGAAAATGAGTATTTATAGCATGCTTCATTCTCAATGCCGCTGTTATAAATTTAACCAAATGGCTCAAACAGTGGTTTTGTTTGTTCAGATGGCGCTTTGAATGTCTCAGAATAGCAAAGCATTGATTGGAAAAAAAAAGGTTGTCAGATTCCACTTGACACCTAAAAGAAAAAACACCAGAAAAGATGCCAGAAAAGCTAGCGGATCCTACTTGACAATCAAGAAAAGAGGGCCTGAAGTATATAAGAAGTGTTAGAAAGATGGCAGAAAAGCTAATATATCCTGCTTTACAACCAAGAGAAAAGGGACTAAAACATATGAGAAATGTCAGAAAAGCTAGCAGATCCTATTTGACAACCAAGATAAGAGGGCCTAAAGCATATGAGAAATGTTAGAAAAATGCCAGGAAAACTAGAATATCTTACTAAACAACCAAGAAAAGAGGGCCTGAAGTATATAAGAAGTGTTAGAAAGATGGCAGAAAAGCTAATATATCCTGCTTTACAACCAAGAGAAAGGGGACTAAAACATATGAGAAATGTCAGAAAAGCTAGCAGATCCTACTTGACAACCAAAATAAGAGGGCCTAAAGTTTATGAGAAGTGTTAAAAAGATGTCAAGAAAGATAGTATGTTCCGCTGTCATCTAAGAGAAGTGAATCGATAGGCGATATTAAATATTGCAATGATGTTTTGTGTTCTTGTCCAGTTGTTAAGCAGAAAATGGATATTTAATACGGCAGTGATGTTTTGTGTTCTTATCCAGTTGTTAAGTAGAAATGTGATATTTAATACTGCAATGATGTTTTGTGTTCTTGTCCAGTCGTTAAGCAGAAAAGCGATATTTAATACTGCAGTGATGTTTTGTGTTCTTATCTAGTCGTTAAGTCCAAATGCGATATTTAATACTGCAATGATGTTTTGTGTTCTTGTCCAGTCGTTAAGTCCAAATGCGATATTTAATACTGCAGTGATGTTTTGTGTTCTTGTCCAGTCGTTAAGCAGAAAAGCGATATTTAATACTGCATTGATGTTTTGTGTTCTTGTCCAGTCCTTAAGTGGAATAGCGATATTTAATATTACATTGATGTTTTGTGTTCTTGTTAAGTTGTTAAGTAGAAAACAAGGCCACAAAAGCATAAACTATACGTGTGGTGTTTTGAGTTGTCTTTTACTAACCACAGTGAATCTATATTTTTATAGGAATTGAAGAATATGTATTACTGATGTTAACTTTGATTGCAATTCATATTTATTTTTAGAATTTTATAAAACATAAACTGCCCGAATTTTCAATATTTTCAGAACTGACATAAATAAATCTTTACGCTTCGGCCGTCAGACATCACGTATTTGACAGCAGTAAAATGTCATTCCTGAAAATTCTTCTATTTCAAGAAACTATTGAAATCCACCGCAGCATAAATATTTTTTTTTTTTAATAAGTTTACTTAGTTGTTAATATTTTGAATAAGTTGACTTAGTTGTTAATATTTTGAATAAGTTGACTTGGTCGTTAATATTTTGAATAAGTTGACTTAGTTGTTAATATTTT